GACTACGACTACGACTGCTGCTACTGCTATTGCTACTGCTACTGCTACTACTACTCCTGCTAGATGCTGCTGCTACTACTACTCTGCTACTTCTTAGACTTCAACTACCGTTGTATATGCAAAATTTGCTGGTCTTGAATGTGCTTCTCCGTTCCAAGCAAGTACATCTGAGCTGAGGCCCCGGGCAAGCGATCGCGCACTTGTTGCATAGACGGACACGATGAAGGGGGCCACCTCGGCAAGTGGCAAGTGAACCGATCCAAAAAGCGGTCGGCAAACGGGCGCTCAAAGCAGCTTTGCTTCATCTCGTCTGCTAACAGTGGCACGTCGTCGCTTGGCACCCAGCCGCTGGAACAGGACGGGTCCGTGCAATGTCGAGAACTGTCAGCGTGTCTCCGAGTGCATTTGGATCAACCTCGCAGTTGACTTGGTACTTGCTCAATGTCAGAGTTCAGCCGAGCTGCGCTATGGCGCAGGACACCAATGCTCAGTTGTTTCAAAACACCCTTCCAATGGCGTCGGCACACGCTTGCTCTACCAGAACAATTCTCGTGCGGCACACCCCTGATGCACCCCGATGCCATTCATCCAGGTTGTCCGTCACTTCAGAGAGCCGCACACAAGTCTCCGTTATCCGCATGTCGTAGTACACGTTGCTCAGCCTCAGGCACAAGGAATTGTACCCCTCTGCAGCTCTGCTAGATGTGCTGAGCTTCGTGGATGAAGGCACTCAGCGCTGCGCAATCCTTGTGTGATTTGGCACTCGAAGGGCTCACGAGGGTTGGCCCTGCATTCGGAGGACTCCTGTGCAATTTCTGCATGAAAATGGGGTTTCAGAAAATAGGGGACCCTAATATAGTACCATAGCCCTAAATAGTAGGATCCTTATTATAAGGACCCCAAAATAAGGTACCCCCTATTTTCGGAAAGTCCCAAATCATGCCAGCCTGTCAGAACGACCCAGGTTCAATCCTCCGACTGCTCTCACCGACCCAGTGTCCTCCCAATCGCGATTTCGATCATGTATTCGAGTCTCCACCTGGCACAGGCGAAATGAAACTCGAACCACAAGGCATGACTGCTCTCTCAACATCCCTAGCACCATGCCGTCTCTCCGACAATCATGCCCCCTCGCAACTCTCAATGCATCATGAGCTTCCGACAGCTTGACGAAGAAGCCCTTTGGCCGGGCTACCGTAGGCCCTTGCCCTTGATGACAAGAGGCATCTCAGAAAACGCTTCCTGCCTTCCAGCCTGTGAAAATGCATTCGCCCGGAGGGTGTGCATCCTCGGCAGACTAACAGCTCAAGGTCTAAGCGTGTGAGCTTCAGGGTGCCGGAGTTTTGTGAGAAGTTGGAAATTCTGAGAGACTCGCCCACGCCACATCCAGCGACGCAAAGGAGATGTCGTGGTTTGGTGATGTGGAGTTGGCCGTCAGGTTCTCCGGCATTGAGGCAGGCACCTGTGTTTGCTGTCGAAAAAGCTGGAGACGTGGATCTGTTTGCTGTCGAATAAGCTGGAGACGTGGAGCAGCAAGCATGAACGTCACAGCCGAGCCCTGCACCGGCAGTCTTGTTTCAACCACCTCATCGTAATAGACCTGGAAAGACGGTCACCGAGAGCTGACGGCGGATCGAGGACAGCATGCTCAGAGGGCACAGAAAGCAATGTCCCCGGTGGCGACACACCGAAGATAATAAGGGCTTCTGCTGGCCCTCCCCTCATGCTAGACCACTCGCCGGTGGCTACTAGCAAGAACGACTCGACAGTTGAAAGTCATTGGTACAAGTGCGAAATGCGCACGAAAGCCAAGGTGCCCAGTCCGTGTAGAGTCGCCGCACTGTGCACGCCTCACCTGAATGTAGGGTCGCAGGAGTTGCAGGCTAAACCTTGTGACCAGGCGGGTCTGGAGTTGGATCTTGCAATCACTACAAACACTGTTTGGCAAACACATAGAGTCACCGCCAAGCAGTCCGTCAGCGGAGGTGGACAGTGTAGCTGCAAAGCAAAGCACCAACCTTTGAATCGCTACCTGCTTTTTTGTCGTCGGGGACCAGGCGCATCCGCACTTGGAAGGCTTTGCCACTGTTCAGGCCGACATGAACCTCGCGTTCGTCAGCTTCTGCTTTTGAAAGGTTCAACACCTGGAAGTCTCCAAGGTCTTCTCCTCTGCTCGTAAAGTGCACTGCTGAGATCTACGGAAGTCGTCACAAGGGTTCGAATCAACGCAGGTCCAACTGCAGAAAACCTCGCCCGGTCTTTCGGGAGATGCATCACGTCGGGTCCGGGGTCGTGGCCATGCACTTCGTTGTACTCCGCTGAAGGACACGGCATCCAAAAACCGGTGGATCATCACCTGGTGACCAAGGGCCCGTCCTCTTCTAGAAGATGTGACGGCCTCGTCTCTCTAGTTGCAGCTCATACAGCGAAGACTGCGGAGTGCACCTGCAGGCCAGTCCGTGTCGTTCACCTGTCGGATCAGAGAGTGCAGCATAGAATGGCGGCTGCATAACTCATTGTCCAGCAACCACTATGGCTCTGAAGAGACAGTCACGCAGAAACGGCAAACAAAATCTCCAAGCGTACTTCTCCCCTCTCCCGCAGGGACAGGAACTATCACCCCGAGACGGAAGACAAGACCACGGGACTGATAGTATCATCACAGAACCATATTGCTCGCATGTGCTTTCGTGTTCTAAACATCCGTGTTGTACACATGGATGTATGTAGGTATGTATGCATGCATGTGAATGGATGTACCGATCCATGTGGTTCATATCTGCGTTTGTATTTCGCTATCGAAAGGTTTAGTTGGTAGTTGCCGATGGGCATGTCCGTATACATAGTAAGACATGTATTTTCCCTAATCTGTACTATAATGTACTACAATGTACTATGATATAGTATAGTATACCATATTTGGCGAGTGTTCCCTTTGATTGCTGAATTACCCCTTTCGGTGGGCCCTGGCCTTCACCTGGACTTCCCAATATTGGAAGATGCATGCCTGCCAGCAGAAGGGAAGAAAAAGGGCAGCTGCAGGCGCATAGAAACAGAAGGATCCGACCTTCTGAGGTCTCCTCCTAACTGTGACCGCCCCTGGAAAATTCTCTGCCTTATATATATATATATATATATATACTATGATATACTATAATATACGAAAACATACTGCAATATACTATAGTGTCCTATAATGTACTAGAATCCAGTAAAATATACCCTAGGATGCTATAACTTACCATAATGAGCTGCGAAGAGCATCGCACGGCCGGGCCTTGGGATCACCAGGATCCCAGCTGACCTGCGAAGGTTTCAGGGTGCAGGGACCCGCAAAATGGAGGGGGAATGGGAGAACCGGGGAGAACCGACCGGGTGTCGGAGCCTCGAAGGTGTAGAGGTCTTCGTTGTAATGGGTCAAGTTCTCTGGATTGAAGGCTGGCATGGTCAGCGTGGCGCACTCTTGGTACCTGCAAGCTCGTGAGGCAACAGACGGATGACAATGACGCCTTGTGCGCATCCTGTCGCGACTCGCCTTATGAAGAACTCGCTGTTGGCCAGGGGATTGGTGCAGGTTTCTCTAACCTGGGAGAGCAGGACATCCAACAGTTTAAAGCTGCATTAGCGCGGCATGCCAAAATTCACCACAGTGGTGTGCCTCCATGCTGGTCACTTGAGGCGTCGGCTCGAATCTTGTAATCCCGATCCGCAAGCAGATCTGTCACCCAGCACTCCTGAGACCACGTGTGAACAGACAGGATGAACCGCGTCGAACCGATTGAGCTTGCCATCAGATTCAAGCAGCCCACTTGGGTGGTTGTCAAAATTAGGGTCCTTTTTGGGTCCTTATAATAATATGGCACCTAATATTTGGGGTACCCAAAAAAGGGACCGTAATTTTGACAACTACCCACTTGAAGCAAGAGCGCTTGAAGCCGGACTGGGGACCACGCCCGCAAGTCTCGGTCGTACCTCGCACACAAGCTTTCTTGAGATTGGCATGAACGTGGAACTGGCCTCATTAACAAGGACAGCCGTTGGTATATTATAGTCTTATTGTGCAGCATGGTATAATATACCATAGAATCATAGAATAGTAGAGTATAGAATAGAAGTATGTAGTACAGGTACAGTGTAGTATCCATCTTTGCTCCAGGGCACAGCACACACTTCGTTTCATACTCGCCACCAGGAGCTGCTCCCTCAAAAAGGCCATCCTCCGTGAATCCTGCCGTCCTGGCGCAGCCAGCTTCGAGTTGCATCATACTATACCATGCTATGCTACTAGTACCACTCTTCGACTAAACCATGCTAGACTAGACTATACTCGACTATACCATATCATACCGTACCATACTATGCTATAAGGGAAGCAAGTAGAAGCAACACGAAGCCTGCCTCAAACCCCAACGAGGCAGCCCACCGACCTTGGCAAGAGCTGCGCCTCCAGCTCCCAGGCCACAAACTCGCAGTCCTGCGAGCATGGAGGTGCGAGCCTCGCATCAGAGATCTCATCTGACTCGCACGATCGGGGCCTCACACCCTGCATGAGAATCCCAGTCACGGTCCAGTTTAGGTAATTACTTGCAACCCTATAAACTAAACACTCGGCGAAAGCCTCCCGACCCTTCAGAACAGACCCACGGGTCCTCTGGGTCACTTGCCCACCAATCCGCCTCGGGGAGCCAAGGGAGCTGCCGAAATGAACAGGCACAGGGACACATGAAGATCACGCAAAAGCATTGAAACTTATCTACAGATACGTGATACATCCGCAAGAACATGTACAGTGCGATATACCGTTAAACCATGTAGATCATACGCACCTATGCATGGCCGCTAGCCCAAAGACCCCCCTTAGAGACGACCGGGGCGCATAGAAGCGGAGTGGCTCCAGGCCTTTCCAAAGGCGTATGTGAGGTGACGTTCAGACTGGGACACTAGAGAGTTTAGGGGGTTTAGGGTTTAAGTTTAAGCTTTCTTTCGGGACTTTCTGTGTGCTTTTATCACCTCTTTTCCTTCGCCTGATAAGGTGTCCGGAATACCATGTTGGCTCTTTTGGGATTTAGGGCGTAGGATTTTGGACTTAAGATATCTGTGGGGTTGAGGATTCACAGGTTCAAGTTTAGGACTTTGGGTTTAGGGTTGAGGATCCGGGCGTTAGGATCCAGGGCTTCGGATGTAGGCGTGCGGATTTTCGGGTAGGGGCCCTCGTTCACATAGGCCCAAATATGCTTCCTCTTTGAGACTCTCAGCAGGGATGCTGAGATGATGATCCTACAAGAATGTTGTTAGTGATTCCAAGGGTTCTGAAAGCTGAAAGGCCAGGATGCGGGGCTTCGGTGTTCAGGACTGCGGATGGAGGAAATAAGCACACAACTGTGGAACTTTATGAGTTGGGACGTTCGGGATGTTGAGGGATTGAAGGGTCAAACTTCACTCGGCACCGGGCCATGCCGGGACCAACTCTCCCAGATTTTCCAAACTAGTCTGACACATGGAAACGACAACTTGCTCTAGAAACGCAAAAAAATAACTGTTACCACACCAGCAAAAATGAGCTGCACTGCTTTCTCTACGCCCTCATGTGCCGTCATGTCAGGAACCTGTGCAGAAGAGCGCCGACGGCGGAACGGCGGGGATGGGCCGCGTCCCAACCTGATCCAAATTGATACAGCTCAGCGTTTCGGGGTTTAGGATTTATAGAGCTTAGGTTGCTTAGGGCTTAGGGCCCAGTCTAGGGTGGCTCAACAGCACAACTGCTTTTGTCAGACTCGTCGCACAGCTGCTGCTTTTCGCTCGCTTGCTGTCGCCACTGCGAATTCCGCATCTTCTACGGGTTTGTGCAATGGCAGCTTCAAAGGGAAAACTCTCCAGACGAGGGGATGAATCGAAGTCTGGAAGGACCAGATATCTTGCCCCACTCAAAACGCAAAAAACAAACACAAGCCAAGTACCAGGCCTCTAGGTTCAGTCTCAAAGAGCTGTGCTGCACTAAGCTTCGGGCAGCAACCGTCGTTCTGTTGGGATATGAGCTCAATTCCACCACCGTACACTGCGCCCACACCTGGCACATCCATAAGGGCTGAAGACATCGACGCAAGTGGGCGGTCTTGGGTTCAGCTAGAAATCCAACATCATCTTACACTGCGAACCTCTATTACTGCTGTTGTGATGACATTTGTACTATTACTTATTACTGTTGCTTAACCAATCCGTATACTGTGATTTATTGCTACCCTTAATCTGATATAATGTAAAAAGCACTATAGATGAATACAGAATACACTATAAAATGTCATTAGTATTTCTCTGCCGCAGCCCGGCCCGGACGTTGTAGTCCGTTAAGCTGCGGAGGTTCTCGATCGTGCAGCTCCTTCGCCGGGATTGTAGATCACCATAAAGGTTCAAAGTTAGCCAGGGCTTAGGGTGCTCTGTAACAGAGGGCATCGTGCAGAGAATCGCGACAGGCATATCGCGTGCCTCTTGTTGTAATCTCGCGTGTCACATTCCCGCATCCAGATCCTGCACACAAGTTGAACTTGCTGATGCAGCAGTGCTTCATCTTCGAACAGCAGGCAGGTGGCACACATGATGACAGCGACATTTTCACACAACTATCGACCCTTTCGGGTCCATTGTCCCTCGCCGTAGATGTGAACCTCGACAGTGGGTTGAAGCACATCCAACAATTTGCCAATGCAACAACTTACTGGGCCATGCAGGGTTGCCAGGACTTGCACCGGACTGTTGGCCCCCGCATGCGCAAAACCAGTGACTGAGAGGCCTTCACTCCGTCTCTGCGTCATGCATCCCTGCCTGCGAAATTGCAACTCGCCACTCCAGGAACTGGCAGCTGGAGTAGCCGATCTGCAGCAATGCGGCTGCTTTTCCATTGCTTAATTGGCCTACATTTCACCATAGCAACATCAACAACATCGGCAACGAAGAAGATGATGATCACGACACTCGACGACCGCGCAGCGGCGAAGACAACGAGGACGACCGAGGACGGACGACTGACGACGGCGAAGACGAAGACGACGACGACGACGACGACGACGACGACGACGACGACGACGACGCACCACCAGACTTCGGCGGCGCGGGACAAATGATCTGAGCACCCAGCCAGGTACCTGATGCACTGGCGACATTCCATAAGCCCTTACTTCGGACAGCGCTGCCACGGCGATGACCCTGGGGCACTCTTGCGGCTCCCAGGATATGGTCAGTGATGCAGGCCTCGAAGCTGAACAATCTGTGTCAGCTGCACATGGCCTAACGTGTTTGGCAGGCCACATAGCTTGGAAAACCGATGAACCTGTTGCTTCTGTTTGTCAACCACGGCATCCTGCCTTCAGCTACTAGACACGCCAGTGGTCAGATAACTGCAGCAGAGTCAAGCCACAGATTGAAATAGATGGATACATCTGCTGCAACTTTTAGCCAAATGACAATGTCGGTGCAACAAATAATGCCAGGCTGAGATTGGCACCCCAAGGACTCCACTTGGGTCAGCAGCGGCGTCTTGGCAGGCACCTCGACAAAATGACTTATTAACTCTTGCGTGCTGTTCTTGAAGGCAAAACGCTCCTCTCACAGCGCACGCCCTGCCTCACACGTCCGTAAGCCGCCGTGATCATTGCATTCCTTGCGTCCGAGCAAGCGGCTGAGCAAGAGAAACGAGAGGCCTTGACACGAAGTCTGCCCTTCACAGACGCCACTCGCTAAGTCTCTCAGAAATCACGTGTCCCCATCGCCGAAACACTGCAGCACTGACAACGGTACTGAAGCTCCATCCTCCTCCGTCGCTTTGCAACAGCGTTCCTGATCAGCGTAAGCGACAAAGCACCGCATGGCAAGTATTGTCATCCAGTGACAGGCTGCCTCACTCTGCGAACGATAAGTGTCCGACATCTGTTGCCACTAGTGCAAACATGTTTCTCCCAAGCTGTCGTTCTGCATTGCGCGCATCATCGAAACAGGACATCCAAGTCGTCTCAGTGTCGTATCGTGCAAATGACGTCGTCGTAAAGCACGAACATTGGGGCTTCAAAAGATCAGTGGCGGTAGGTTTTGTAAGTGTCCTCGCAACAATGACCCATCAAGGGCTGCATATAGGGGTCCCTGGTCTTTTCTGAAGAATCCATCATCTGGCCTGGGAGTCGGCACAGTCCCACGGGTTGTGGCACATGAAAGGCGTGCTCGCTGGACACCTGGCCAGGTGTGCAATCCGACAGTGCTGTTCTTGCGATAGACACTCTTACTCTTACTCCTCGTACTAAGGATTTTCTTAGTAATATGGCAAGTTGGGATTACTGTTCGTATTACCAGCATCATAATGCAAACATTTCTTGCCCAACAAATTTGTCGCAAAACAAAAGCCCTCCACTTCGCTGCCTGATGCGTCCACCATGCGGAACACAGCAGCTAGGATCCGTCTCACTGCAGTAGGTGCCTGCCCAAGCGCACAGAGCTGAGTTCAACTTGCTTTAGGCAGCCCAGGGAACCACACGCCCTGAAGGGAGCAGATGGCTGTACACCCCACAACAACAGCTCTGTCTTAGCATCTAGCTTCGTGAGACGAGCGCAAGAAAGTGGCGGAGCCGGCCGTCAACGCATTCGAACTGGTCCGGCTGACCCCACTGTCCAGTGTGCGTCGACCTGCGCTGTGGTCCGTCGATCGGCTCACATACTATCCGAACTTGGAATGCACAGATGCAGCTGTTGCTGCCAGGAGTTTTCCATCCGACCGGCTTCCTTGCGACCCTTCTAATACCTGCTTTCCGACAGGGTGTCAGTAGACAAAAACCCATTACCGGGATGCGCTTGCTCGGGGAGCGGCCATATGCAGGCTGGAGGTGTGATGATGTAGTCCTGCTCGCAAAGACTGCACACATGCAAGCATGCTCCACACTCCAGCCACCTGAAAGGCTTCGGTTGCTCGTGACATGCCGTCCTCCGTGTAAGTGTACTCGCTGTCCACCGAAGAATTCTCACACGACCTGGCTGAGATAAGTTCACACTCACCGCGGAGCCTGGCGCGAGGAACTGTCGGGCGGCACCGTCAACCAGCCGGGATGACATTTTCATTCGCCCCCAATACTTCTTGTCTGGCAGGGCCTACGGGCTTCGGCTTGGCACATCCAACTCGGCGTGCGCTCTATATGCTCATGCTGATTCTGGTGAATGCAGTGATACTGATGGACTGGAAGATGATAAGGTGGACGATGACGATGATGATGATGATGATTATGACGATGATGATAATGACGACAAAGGTGAAACTTGCTGCAGGCTTAACCTACATGTAGGATCCTGAAAGAGCACACACGAGCAACGCCTCGTGGACACACCACTGCAGCTGCACCGCTGAGCCATACCGCCCCAGAAGTTGTCGTGCTTACCAAAGCAAAATCACAACGATGACAGCGATCATGATGACGATGATGATAATGACGGCGACGATGACGAAGACGATGACGATGATGGCGGCCGCGACGAAAACACTGGTCACTGCTATTATAGAAAGAACTACTACTAGCACTACTAGTATTAGTGTCAGTGTTAGTACTAGTACTACTACTTCTTCTTCTTCGTCTACTTCATTGCTACTGCTACTAGTAATAGTTGAGACTATTACGTGTCCTCTTTTTGCCGTTGTCAGTAGCTTCGGGGGTTCATGTGCGATCGTAAGAGAAGCATCGTGATCATGATGGCTCTCGTTGTTCGTTGTTGCTTAGCTTCCGCCTCGTTATGGCGACTAACGCGACGAACACCACGATTACTTTTGCCTTGTGCTTGGGTTGTTGTCGCGTTGTTGCTGTCCCTTTGGCGTTGTCACTGATTGTGCACTTTCCGCTTTTTTCGTCGTCAAGTATGCTCAGTCTTGTTGCTGATCTGTCATATTGTGCACCACTGTTGATGTGCAATGGCTGGTTCTGAAGTCCCTTGTCGTGGTACTAATGCTGTTATCATTACATACATCTCTTTCTCATACGGCCTTCATCGCAACTGTAATGGTCTAGGCAGCAGTACTCCCATTTCGATTTGGTTCTAATGCTGATATCATTACATACATCTATTTCTCATTCGGCCTTCATCGCAACTGCAATGGTCTAGGCAGTACTGTAGTACTACCATTTTATATTTATGACTGCTACAATTCCTCCTATCACCACCGCTGACACTGGTCGCCTCATCAGATCGCTGTAACGCTGTGGTGAGTTCAGAACTCGAGCTCGCAAAGCACAAAGGCTCCACTGAGGCTGCGGCATCGATAAGGAAACAATCACGGGTGCCTCGCTGGGTGTCTAGGGGGCACATGATTTCGGGATCTGCAGAAAACCGAAGGACCTCCTAAAGGGAACAAAGGATGCCGCCGACTTTTCTGATATGGAAATGATACGAGTGCCCGACTGGTAGCAGCTTCGAGTCCCGGACATCGACGACAGCCGGGCATGGATCTAGGATCGCAGGCCTTTGCATGGACGCTCTGTCCAGCCTCTTGGAAGGGATCCAGGCAGAAGTTTCATCGCTTGGACTTGGAAAAACCATTGCTTCCCTTCGTCCCTTTGGGAGGTTTGGGAGCAGATGCCGTTGCTGCGATATCCAGGGGCAGGGCGAAGGCCATGACATTCGGACCGCGACCGACCAGGGAAGGCTCGTAGGAAGACTTCCACTTTCCGAAAGTCTTACTCTGAGCAAGCATTTTATAGCTGGCGGGCTCATCCACCAAAACCGTGAAGACATGAGTGAGCCCACAGCTCTTGTCATTCTTCTCACCCAACTCTTCCAACAGCTCACTGTGCGAGAACCGGGCGAAGCCCGTAGGGTGGAGAGACACTGCAATCTTGCCATCAATGCCAGGAAGCTTGTTGATGGCTTCGACCGCCTTCTGCATTTTGCCATAATCGTCACCATCTTCCCTGACCGCTTCGCTCAACCGTAAGCCGTATACGATTAGCATCGGGTCTCGCTTCTTTGCATGGACGAGGTCCAAGCCGAGTGGTGTGGTGAAAGACACCGTGTTGCGTGCATGGGGCGCAATTGCTGCCGGCCAGTCCTTCGCAAAAATGTCACTCTTCCAGAGGTCCTTCAGGTTGTCCAGACAGTCTGCAACCGTGATCATGACGTGCGTAGCATCCTTGCTCAACTGTGCAAAGTCTGGGAACGCATCTTTTGACAGTGCTTCTTTGTCCTGGTTCTTGCTGCCAAGACGGTCGAAAGAGCATGCAATCCCAGGGAAGGAATTGTGCCGCTGCACGGTGTTTTGGAGCTTCCGAAGCTCGCTCTCACGCAAACCGGGCATGGTGTAAAAACTCAAATTCAGAAGCCGCTTCACATATCCCAAGGGAGGCTCATCATCTGCTCCCCACTCTTGCATGCAGAGGCTCTTGCCGGTATGTACCAGCATGAGGCGCGGAGGGTGGTCCTTCGGCCAATCCGCTTCGAAACCGATAGGTGGACTGACGTACCGCACGCCCGAGTGCATCTGAGCATATCGCACGCGTCCATGACCGTAGACGTGCAGCTTGCTCTTGAGTGCCCTCGCTTGCTCATCGATCATGTCACACCCTACAGCCTTCACCGCGTTTTTCCTGGTCTTGTCAAAAGGCAGGCCCTGTCGCGGGAGGAAGTGGGAGAACGTTATCACGGTCTCATAGCCTTGGAAGCTAAGGAAGGATTCGTTCAACTTCATCATATACTTCCAGACCTGCAAGTCTGGATCCATGGGCCACGAGCAGCGACGATTGAAGTTGGAGTTTGGATCCGGAAACGGATCCTCGTGGTCGAATTCGGCACTGCACCAGGAGAGGAGCGGTACTACTAGAACCCCTTCGCACACCGGGGCTGGGAAAACATCAATTCCCAACTCGTCGCAGGTACTGAAAATGTCAGAAAGCTTCGCGATGGAGTCAGGATAACGTGCAAACTCCGAGGTCGCGATTTGCATCTCGTGGTTACCAACTGTATAGAAGACTCTCCTGAACTTGGACTTGAGCGTGGTGAGCGCCCGTGCCATCCCGACCTTCGTGTCAGCCACGTTGCCAGCAACAATGAGGACATCGTCCAGGAAGGCTATGTCATCAATCGCATGGGCCCAATCCTCGTTGCATTTCTGATCAAAGTGCAGGTCGGAGATTGCGAAAATCCTCGTGGATCCCTTGGGTCGACGAAGATCCAGCCAGAAACGATTCTGGTATCGCAATGTGGCAGATGCCGACTTCCAGGCCACCATCTCCTTGAGGCAGGTGTTGCGACCTTTGATGGAAGGCTTGTGCTCTGAATCCAACTGGAACCCCCTGGCGAATTGGACGTAGGCCTCCTGATGGAAGCCACTTCCGAGCAATGCAACTCCAAGCTGGGAGTGAGCACTGGACAAGCCTGGCTGTGCTGCCACTGCCTCCTTCGCATCCTTCACTGCGGCATCCCAGCTTCGCACACGAGAGAAGGCCGCCGAGCGGTTCGTGAAGAGCACTCCCCGTAGCAGCGCGTGCTCGTCGGGCTTCGCGTCGGAGTTGGACCGGTCCTCTGACGTTGCCGCCGGGAGCTGAGCGATGCCTTGCGTGTAGAGAGCGATGCCCAGACCAATCTGACCTGAGCGGATGGCCTCGTTCCCCTTCTCCTTGGCAGCATGTGACGCATCCGGATTCGGGCCCTGCAACTGGGAGACACTGCTCTGCAGCGCTTGGACCGTGGAGGGCAGCGGGTCCATCTCCACGGACTTGGCGTACGCTTGTGCGGCCTCGGCACGGAACTTGTCCCCCAGCTCCCATGCCGCCTGGCCCAAGCGACTCCAAGCCCGAGCCCAGCGCGGAGCCAAGGCAGCAGCCTTCCTCGCATGGGCCACGGCCGCCAGGTAGTCCTGCACCTTGATGAGGCAAGCCGCCCTGTTAGAGAGAACCTTCGCGGCTTCTGGCACCAAGTCCGGGCCGCGCTGTCCGCTCACATCGATCACCTCCTCCTCCTCCTCCTCACACGCCTCCTCCTCTGCATCATCCGTCTGCAGATGAACCGCAATCCGCAACTCCTCAAGTCGCTTCGCGTAGACACCACACGCAATCCAGTAGCTTCCCTGCTTGAACGCCTGATCGCCCATATTCTTCCAGGGCATGGGGCGATCAGGCCTTGAGAGCGTGATCCTATCATCAAAGATCGGCTTAGCCAGGAGACACCGAGGTCGCACGCTGCGCGCCTGTGCGAGAAGGATAAAGGCCGTCTCTTGCCTCGGAGTCACGTCCAGAAGATCTGCACATCAAGGGAGAAACACGGATACTAAGTCATGCCCAGATATGCCCAGATGCAGCACTGTTGTCAAGCGGGCCTTCAGCCGGTCCCAATCCGCAGAAGCCTTCTTCTTGCCGCACGCTGGACAGTCGAGGCTGACTGCAAAAAGCTCGTACCTCAGCCGAGCACTCTCCGTCTCATCTCGCTAAACTCGGCGCTCTGTCCCCACTCATCTACCCAAAGGAAGCAAGGCACTTTGGAGCTGTGCTGGCCAGAAAAGTAAGAGTACTCGGTGGCTTGGTGAAGAGCCGAATCGCTTGTCCGATGGGCCTGAACACGGGATCACGGCATGAAAGGCACCAGATTCCCTTGAGACTCCTTTACCTTCTCACCTTCCGGCCCTGATCCCGGCGCCTCAACTCGACGTCCGCGGTGAGCCTGTCGTGCATCTCTCTCCTGACCTGGCGTCGCTCCAGGAGGGTCCGCAGCATGCTCCCGGCACCTTTCGGAAGAGAGAGCTAGCAGCTAGGACCCAGGAGAAGTCTCTGCGCATGTCTGCGCCTGTTTTTTTTGTCCGTCACACCCCCCGGCCTGGCTCCGGTTGCGGCTCGCTGAAGCCGGCTTTGGGAGCGAGGCCGAAGCGCTCCAGGAACTGCCGGCGCCCGGCCGGGGGTCCCGGCGGCACGTGCAAGCGATGACTCTCGGGCCGACCTCCCATTCCCAGCTTCAACAGCAAGGCCAAGGCTCCTTGTGGGCCCAAGCCAAGGCCCTGCAGCTGCACCGCCAACTGCCCTTCCTCGGCCACCGCAGTGGATCCATGGAATGGATTTCGACCCCAGATGAAGACCTGGCGGCCGGAAAAGGGTGCGATGGAAGCAGACAAGTAAGCCTCGGATCGCATGGACGAGCCCAGCTGGATCGCTTCCCTCAGTTTGATATCCTGGCCATCTCGATCCAACCACAGGTGCGGCTTCGCCGAGAACAGGAAACGGATCGTGTCCGCCTCTCGTCCCTCATGCTGATCGCCCTGTCTCCGGAAGTCCACACTCCAGGGCTGCTCCACTCCAGCAGGGAGGTCGATCCGAAAAGTCTTCACTTCCTCATTGAAACCACCGTAGCTCTTGTCCTTCACGAGCCTTGTGCGTTTCAAGGTCTTTTGGCCACCGAAAACGAACTTCTCTATCCTGCAGTGCACCGGCACAGTGATGATCTCGCTTGGAAGCTTCTTGTTCTCCTTAGCTCTTTGCATCATCCTTTGCAGTGCCTCCCCAGCGTCAAAGCCATTCTTCTCCTGAGGCTTCTTCCCATGGCTCTGTGCACTCACGTTGTCGCGATCACGCTCGAAATCATACTGCCGCCGGGTGGGGTCATCGGCCAGGAGCTTGTAGGCATTCTTGATCTCCATGAAGATTGCTGCTGCTTCGTCCTTCTCCTCCTGAGTCTTGTTGGTCTGCTTATCGGGATGGTAGTTGAGCGACAGCTTCCGGTAAGCTTTCTTAATCTCATCGTTGGTGGCGTACTCCTCGACACCGAGTGTCTTGTAGTAGTTCACCGACTTGTCATACTTGAAAGACTTGGGAGCTTCGAAATCTGTGTCTTTGGGGCTGAAACTTGGATCTGTCTGGGACCGCTTCTTGTCCCTCTCACTGAACTGCTGCCAGGCTTTCTCATCAATCTCCCGCATTCTTTGCATGAACGGGCTGGCCTGAAATCTTCCTTGCAGCTTTCGGTGCGCACGAGGGAAGTAAGCTGACATGCAACCGTCGGCAAGGATCTTTGAGGCTGTACGGGGAGGAAGGAGGAGGAGGAGCAGGAAGAGGAGAAGGGGGGCAGAATAGTAGATGTAGTTGTCGTCTTCGTCATCGTCGTTGCAGCAGAAACAGCGGCAGTAGCAGTGGCAGTAGCAGCAGCAGCAGCAACAGGAGCAGCCGCGGCAGCAGCAGCAGCAGCAGTAGCAGTGGCAGTAGCAGCAGCAGCAGGAGCAGCAGGAGCAGCAGCAGCAGCAGTTGCAGTAGCGGTAGCAGTGGCAGTGGCAAGACAGTAGCAGTGGCAGCAGCAGCAGCAGCAGCAGCAGCAGCAGCAGTAGTAGTAGTAGCAGTAGCAGTAGCAGCAGCAGTAGCAGTGGGAGGAGGAGTAGTAGTAGTAGTAGTAGTAGTAGTAGCAGTAGCAGGAGTAGCAGGAGTAGGAGTAGTAGCAGTTTTAGCCGTCGTCGTCGTCGTAGTCGTAGTAGTAGGAGTAGTGGCAGTAGTAGTAGTAGTAGTAGTAGTAGGCGCCCCCCCCCCCCTACCAACTACACTTGCTTAAAACCATGTTAAGAGCACATCCGTAAATACCGAGTAAAACGGATGTGCTCTTAACATGGTTTTAAGCAAGTGTAGTTGGTAGGGGGGGGCGCCTACTACTAC